AAGGGATGATTTTGTTTTTATATAATAATAATAATAATAATAATAATAATAATAATAATAATAATAATAATAATAATATATAATATATAGATTAATTATTACCCTAATACTTAATTTATAATTCTGATTTTAAAATTCTTATTATTATTATTATTATTATTATTATTATTATTATTATTATTATTATTATTATTATTATTATTATTATTATTATTATTATTATTATTATTAACATTAACATTTGATTAGTTTTATAAAAAAAATATAAATTCTAAATTTTGTATGAATAAATTTAAACTCTAACCCGACACATTTTCTTATACAATTGTATAATTCATTGTATATACACATAATATTTATTAATATGTATAAGAAAGTTCTATAATATAATTTCATTAATTATAATTTATATTGATAGATTTATAATTAAAAAATTACATTTAAAAATTTAAAAAGTAGCATTTAAATTTTGCATGATTATTATAATGCATAAGTGTATGTATGATTAGAAATATTCATTTTTGTTAATTTAATAATTTCATTTCTTTAATTATATTTCATATTTTATTATTTGTAATTTAATGAAATTTCCACAAATATTTCTATGGAAGAAATCTTATATTTCTCAATTTCATTAATTATATTAATTATAATTACCAAATATTGTGGCAATTACCATAATAATTTCATTAATTATATTAATTATATTAATTCAAATTATATTAATATTAATTATATTAAGTATAATATTTGTACTAATCTCTTCCAAATTTAAATACATTACCATAATAATCACACAAAAGAATGAAAGAAAAATTATCAGAATAATTATCTTTAATAAAAATAAGAAAATTATATTAAAATTAATTATATATTAAGGTAAGTATAATTTATTTCATGCCCATAATATTATACATTAAGTATAAAAATATATGTGTATATAAATTATCATAATAATTACACCGAAAAAGTAACAATATATAATTATTAGACAATAATTTTAATAATTAATTATTAACGCAAGTATAATTTATTTTGTACTAATAATATTATACATTATATACTTTTAATTTTATATTGATAACCATAGTCTATGTATATACTTTAAGAAAATATTCATTATTAAAGAGGGGATATATAATTTAAAAAGTAAATTACTTATTAAATTACCTAATATAATTGTCTTACTAATTGATTCCATGCTACTATGTATAATTCATATATTTGAATTTTTTTTAAAAAATATAAATAGCTATTAATTGCCTTAATAATTAAAATAATTGTTAGTCAATCAATATTCAATAGTACTAAAAGTATTATTTTGAATTTTTATATATAAGATATAATATTATTAAATTGAAATAATTAAAAATAATGTGTCCATATTACAAAAGATTTTATAATAGTAATTTTTATTGCCTAATAGAATTTGGCAATTATTAAACATTGTTTTTGGTAATTATTGTATGACATCTAATACTAAAATTATTAGGTAGAATTTTTATAATTACGGTAAAATATTATTAAATCAAAATTATTAAAAGTAATGTATCCACAATATAATATAAATTATACTTGTCTTAAAAATTAGTTTTTTAATGCTACTGACTCTATTACATTGTATTAATATAAATTTACAATAATCATTTATTAATATAAATTTACAATTATAAATTTGTATAAGGAAAACATAAAAACTTCTGTTAAAAAAAAAAATCCCTCCATTTCATTTTTCTCTTTCCTCACCCTCACATTCCCACTCTCTTTAGAAAAAGACAAAGTTGGATGAGAAATGGCCTCTATCTACAACGTCTTCACCCCTCAATTCGATTTAGCTTTTGCTTGATTGTTGTTTTGCCCAACGAACCACGTAAACACTTAACGCTGCTTGTTAAAAAAAACATAGAAACTTGAATGACATGTACAAATCTCGAAGTCAACATACTAACTCTAAGTTTCATAAAATCTTACAAAATTATCAAAATCACCGTCGTTATCATCCTCGATCGCATCTCTACGCTCTTCCATAACAACTAAAACATTAGGGTTCTATTACCAAGCCTCCTCATCCTCAATCTCTTTTTGTTGAAACCCATTCACAGTAGGCTAGAGGTCCTGCTTTTTAATCAAGTAACCACAACACAAAAAATCACAATAAATTGAAGAAAACAACCAATCCAACATGCAGAATGCAACACTTTGATCTCAGGGTATTTAAAGAAAAAATGTCAAAATCAAATAACATATACCCCAAATATACATACATTTACACCAGTAACTGAACATACACTTGGACACACTGTAACAACATATCATGATATACAAACCCCTAACAAATCGAAATAAAGATGAAAACGTGAACATAGTTTACACCTATCGGAATCATAATATTTCCTTGAAATGAACTATGAGATCTGAGCTCCTAGCTTTGCAGGCTGCATTCAGAAACAACCATATAAAACTTAGAAATCAAATGAAATAATAAACTGGAGAACAATATAGAGTGCAAATGAAAGTATAATTTGTATTTATATGTGAAAAATACTAATTCAAAAGGAAAGTATAATAATTTGTAATTAAGGTAATAACATTATTATTATTATTATTATTATTACTATTATTATTATTATTATTATTATTATTATTATTATTATATAGATTAATTATAATTCTGACGGAATATTCCTTACCATTAAAAGGAGTACGTGTATATATAATTTCCATATGCATACCCTAACAATTACAACTACACTTCACATGAATATTTATGAATTTAATTATTAATTATATATAGATTACCATAATATTCTTTCCATAAACTTCACACACAGAATATTTATAAATTTACATAATTATCCCTAAGTTTTGGGGGGGAAATTTAGCTAGAGGATTTTACTTTTATATAGATATATAGATATATAGATATAGATATATAGATATATAGATATATAGATATATAGATTTGATTTGATTTCAGTCTGATTATGCCTAATATATTGAAGTCCTATAATACACGGAAATAGGAATATATCTAATATAAATGGAGATGAATATAAAATTACTATAATTTGATTTGAATATAATGGCATATAATAATATCTATATATAAATAATGGATGATATTACATAAATGCCTCTAAGTTTTGAGGGAAAAATTTATAGATTAGGATTATTGTTATGCGTGTACATAAATATATTTGATTTGGACTTGAGTACCAAGGCTCAATATAATAAAATGGGCTACGTTCAAATTAGCTTTTGCATGGAAAAATGCTCTCGAAGCAACGATCATCGGACGATCAAGATCCGCCCCAACGGAGCTCTAAGAAGTCCAAACACGACGTCAGGAGGCTGGTGACGCAGGCTGGGGAGGCGATAGAGGTCGTACCGGAGACACCTCTGGAAGCTATGGTGGAACGCGTGGCCCCGCCGGAGCCCATGCGCGATCCGCCTCTGTTGTCTTTCAGGGATACGGTGGCGAAGAATAGGGTAGCGGCCATAGATTTGCCACTGGGCGATCAGGATGGAGATGACTGCTACTCGGATGATGAGCAGCCCGGGGAGACGGACGATCCATTATGCCCAACAATCAGGCTAACCAGGAAGGAGAAAGAACCCATCAGAGCGCCGTGGAAGCAAGCGTTGATCATCAAAGTCTGGGGCAAGCGTGTGGGATATTCCTTCCTAATGCGGAAACTCTGTGCGCTATGGAGGCCGAAGGGAAGCTTTGAGATGGTAGCGATCGACAATGATTATTTCCTAGTCAAATTCGGATCTGTAGAAGATCTCAACTTCGCAAAGTTTGAAGGGCCATGGATGATCCTCGATCATTATCTCATTGTCAAGGAATGGGAACCGAATTTTGATCCGATCGCGGACAAAACTGAGAAAGTCCTGGTATGGGTTCGTTTCCCCTGCCTTCCCATAGAATACTACAGCGGCATTTTCTTGAGGAAGATCGGAGACAAGATCGGGCGCCCGGTCAGAGTTGATCACGCGACAAGCAATGCATCCAGAGGAAGGTTTGCCCGGATATGTGTGGAGGTGGACATAACTAAGCCGCTGTTATCAAAATTTACCTTGGAAGGTCGCCGCCGGTTCATCGCATACGAAGGGCTCCATCTCGTATGCTTTCAATGCGGAATGTATGGGCACAGCAATGAGTCGTGCCCGGCGTCGAAAACCAGTGAATATCCACCTGAGACGGAACAGAGCAGTAGCATGGTGGAGAAAGCTGTCGATGTACGCCCAACCGAGGCGGAGGAGACGGTAACCAAGCCCTATGGGTCCTGGATGGTGGTAACAAAACCAGATAGGCGACGTCATCAGAAGCCGGAGACGAGCAGACAACGCAAGGCGGAGATTCCAGCACATGTCGGCCAATCCCGTTTCCAACCGCTGGGCGACGACCAAGAGGAGGTGAACCAGGAAGAAGAGGCAGAAAAAACGATGGGCCTGGAAGGCTTGGAGGATGGTAGGGACGTGCAGCAACCCGCTGGATTGGAGGTGAGCGCGAATGTGATCCCCGATGGAGCCCTTGGGAATGGTAATCAGAATGCATCGAACACAAGGAAGCAAAGGAGGGCAAATGTGGTGGTCAACGAAAAGCAAATTGAAAACCAGAGGGGGACAAGGACAGTGAACGAACCTAAGGGGAAGGAGAAGGCAGTCGGATATCAAAGTGTTCAGAAGAGGGGCTCACGGCGTGCGGCGGAGGAAGATGAACACATTGTGGTCCGTGGGTCGCATGGAGGCAAACATATCCAATCTGAAAAAGTTTTACACGTGCAGGTTGGCAGAACAAGCTCCTCGCATGCCTTGGAGGATGTAGGGGAGCACCACAATGATGATCCGGATTGCTTAGATGATGACGGGGACGCCGTGATGGAAGTTGATGGTGATTCAGGGGACAACGCCGGGGATACTACCGGCCGCGTTTCTCTGGTTTAATCGGGTCCTTTCTTTTTGTTGCGTTGTGTTTGTTTTCTCTGACTGTTTTCATGATTTGTATTATTTGGAACTGTCAAGGCGCAGGGGGAAGAGAATTCCACCGCGTTCTCAGGCTCTTAATTGAAACTCACAGGCCAAGTTTGGTGGGATTGGTGGAGCCGAAAGTGTCGGGGTCACAGGCCAACGCCATTTGCACCAAGTTTGGGTTCGATGAGTGGGTTCGAGTCGAGGCCGTGGGCTTTAGCGGGGGAATATGGATTCTTTGGGATAAGGCTATTCAGGTTGAAGTAATTTTTACTCACCCTCAATTCGTCTTATTGCAGGTACAAGAAGGCACTGCAGACCCGTGGCATATGGCTATAGTCTACGGGAGTCCAGTCCATTATCTAAGAAAACGTCTATGGAGCGAGCTACAGGCGGCCAAAAGAGCGATCTCCGGCCCTTGGTTAGTGGCTGGAGACTTTAATGCGGTGACCAAACAGGAGGAGACACTGAACTATACAGACTACTCGACTCAAAGGAACGCAGATTTTGTGGATTGGATTCACAGCGAGGGGCTAATTGATATGGGTTTTTGTGGGCCTCGTCTAACCTGGGTGCGAGAGACTAATTCTCTACCCTCCAAGGGGGCGAGGCTTGATCGAGCCCTCTGTAACGTGGGATGGAGACAACGTTTTGAAGAAGCCTTTGTCAAACACCTCCCACGGGTCGCTTCAGACCACGCACCTCTTCTGATCAACACGCACATTATGCATCATGGGGGTGGTTAGTTTCAGTTCAAAAGTCAAGCAGCATGGTTCACAAATGCTTCTTTCCATGAGGTGGTACAAAAATCTTGGAACCAAATGAAGTCCGTACAATCTAACCTTTGTGATATGCAGGCAGAGCTGGTTAAGTGGAACAAAGAGGTTTTTGGGAGCATCGAAGGCAGGAAGAAAAATTTATTAAACCGTATTGGAGGCATCCAGAGGCTCAGGGCGGACCAGCTCCATAGAGGACTACACCAACTTGAAAACAAATTGAAAGGTGAACTAGAGGAGGTGTTATATCAGGAGGAACTGATGTGGTTCCAAAGGTCGCGCGAGGAATGGATCGTTTCGGGGGACAGAAACACCAAATTTTATCATGCTGCAACAATGGTGCGAAGGGCCAGGAATAAAATTCGTAGCTTGAAAGATGACACTAGCGAATGGATTAATGAGGGGCAGCAACTACAGCAGCATGTGCATAAGTTTTTCTCAAATCTCTTTAGGGAGGAAACACCTGCACCCCGGGAAGAGGCTGTAAGAGGCCGCTTTCCTACTTTGAACTCGGCGGCATGGCGGGTCTTCAATAGGAAGGTAACGATTGACGAAGTTAAAACAGCTGTATTTGACATGAACCCGATGAAAGCCCCGGGGCCTGATGGGTACCACGCAGCCTTTTATCAACAGATGTGGGACATTGTAGGGGCAAGCATGTTCGACATGGTGGAAAAAGCATTCGAAACGGGTAAACTTCAAGAACATGTGAATGATACGCTACTAGTGCTGATCCCCAAGGTTCAGATGCCAGAGACCATCAAGCAGTTCAGGCCTATAAGCCTGTGTAACGTGTCATACAAAGTGATAACTAAAACTATTACTAACCGCCTTAAGTTCATTCTTCCAGGTCTCGTGGGGCCCTTTCAAAGCTCTTTCGTACCAGGGAGGCAGATAACAGATAACGTGCTTGTGTTCCAAGAGGTGATGCACACAATGCGGACCAAACGCGGGAAAACAGGGTTGATGGCGATCAAGATTGATTTGGAGAAAGCATACGATCGTCTGTCTTGGAAGTTCATTAATGAAACTCTTATTGATGCAGGTTTCGAGAGTGCTTGGGCCGGGGTGATTATGGAATGCGTCCAGACAGCTAACATGTCGATTGTGTGGAACGGAACGCGTTTGGAAAGCTTTAAACCCCAGAGAGGGGTGCGCCAAGGCGATGCCATGTCCCCAGCCCTGTTTGTTCTTTGCATGGAGCGGTTAAGCCAAGCTATAACCGAGGAGGTGGCTAACGGTGCTTGGAAAGGCATAAGGCTGGCTAATTCGGGACCTATCCTGTCTCATTTGTGCTTTGCAGATGATATGGTCTTGTTCTCGGAGGCTTCTGTGGACCAGGTAGCCGTAATTAAAGGATGCCTGGATAGGTTCTGTGCAGCTTCTGGGCAAAGAGTAAGCTTAATCAAGTCTCAAGTGTTCTTTTCCAAAAACACGAGCACTGACCTTGCCGCGGAGATATCAACGGCACTTAACATTCCCGAAACGAAGGATCTAGGCAGGTACCTTGGGGTACCGTCAATTCACGGGCGTATCACACAGTCTACGCATGGTAGTCTGATAGAGAGGGTGGCGGCGCGCCTAGAGGGATGGAAGACAAAAACTCTCACGTTCGCCGGGAGAGTTACTCTAGCCAAATCAGTGATTAGCGCCATGCCTACTTACACAATGCAGTCTATGTGGCTACCGATGGGAATCTGCGACAAACTCGAGGGCATGATAAGACGATTCATTTGGGGAGGCGACGAGAATACCAGGAAGATAAGCTTAGTTCGCTGGGATAAAGTAACGCAACGCAAGAGCACGGGAGGACTAGGCCTGCGAAATCTTAGGGAGGTCAACTCGGCCTTCATGGCCAAACTTGGGTGGCGTATGAAAACGGAGCCGCATAGTTTGTGGTCCCAGGTTCTCCACAACAAGTATGGGGCTTTAGAGGACACGAGAGGCGCAGCGCAAGGACGGCGAGCATCGAACGCTTGGAGAGGGATGTGTGCTGCATCTCATATCCTGGACAAGGGAATTACTAGAATTATACGAAATGGCCATAACACCCGCTTTTGGATGGATAGATGGGTGAATGATCAGAGGTTGTACGACCACCTCCTTAAACCGTTAAGCCTGCCGGAGCTGTATGCGAACGTGGCCGATCTCTGGGAACCGGGAGTTGGCTGGAGGTGGAATATGATCGAGAGTGTGCTACCGGCAGAATGGAAGGCAAGAATAAGCGCACACATTGTTCTAGAGGACGACGAGGAGGATGATACCTGGGGTTGGAGTAAGGAATTAAACGGAAGATTCTCTGTTAGTTCTGCCTACGCTCTTTTGGGAGACGAGAGCGAGCAAGCCAACGATAGAATCTGGGAGGCCATCTGGGCAATCAAAATTCCAAACAAGATGATTCACTTCCTTTGGCTTGTTAAGCATGGGAAAGTGTTGACAAATGTTGAACGTAATAAAAGGCATTTCACTTCTGATAATGCGTGTTCTCTTTGTGCAGGTGAACCAGAGACGCTCCTTCATATTTTCAGAGACTGCAAGGAGATGGAAGGCTTGTGGGAATCTTTGCTCCCTCATACGACAACGCAACTGCTCCGTACGAAACCTTGGAAGGACTGGCTATCGCACAATCTCGAGGCAGACGGCAGAATGGGATTCCCAGATGGTTGGCGAGAGACGTTTGGGGTTGCGGTTTGGTGGTGCTGGAGATGGCGGAATGACAGAGTGTTTGAAGGCAAGTGTACAGACACACACCGGAAAAGGCAATGGATTAAAGATCAAGATAGGGAGATACGGGATGCTGTGACGAAGAGATGGTCGCCTATTTTACGAGGCAATGGTCAGAATAAGAAAGTGTTCGTATGGGACAAACCAGCTGATGGTTGGATCAAATTGAACGTAGATGGCTGTTGCAAAGGCCGTGAGAAGAGAGCCGGATGCGGTGGTGTCTTGCGTGATACACAAGGGAATTGGAGGAGGGGGTTTTCGCATAACATAGGAGCATGTGAAGCTAAAGAGGCAGAAGCTTGGGCGATCCTGGTAGGGCTGCGCATGGCCGCTCACTATGGTGCGAGCAAGATTGTAGTCGAAAGTGACTCCATAGCAGTTATAAGAGCTCTGAACTCGGGATATCATGCGGCAGGAAGATGGGGAAACATCATGAAAGTCTGCAAGAGGGCGAGCAGCCATTTTGAGAAAGTGGAGTTTTCACACATTGTCCGGGAACAAAATAGAGTGGCGGACAAGTTGGCTGATCACGCCCTCACTCACGCTATGGGAAGTAATTGGTTTGAACAACCGCCTGGTTTTGTAAGAGAGCTGCTGTGGAGAGATAGGTATGGTGAAAGGGTCCATCGTCCATGCTTGAGCAGGCCAAATGGCGTGTAGTTTTTTTGTTGTTTTGGGTTTATCCCTCCTTTACGTTCCAAAAAAAAAATAAAATAAAATGGGCTACGAAGATATCATGTCAAAATTGTAGCTTAAAGAATATAATATAAATTAAGCAAAATAATTTATTTATTTAAGGTAGAAAATACTAATTTATATTTATAGGTAGAAAATACTAATTTAAAAGGAAAGAATAATAATTTATTTATTTATTTAAGTTAATAACATCATTATTATTATTATATTATATTATACTATATATATATATATATATATATATATATATATATATATATATATATATATATATATATATATATATATTATAAAAATGCTGTAAAATGAACTATGCTTGTTAAAAAAAAACATAGAAACTTGAATGGCATGTACAAATCTTGAAATTAACATACTAACTCTAAGTTTCAGAAAATCTTACAAAATCATCAAAATTATCGTCTTTATCATCCTCGATCGCATCTCTACAATCTTTCATAAAAACTAAACCAATATGGTTCTGTTACAAATGCTCTTCCTCCTCAATTTCCTTTTGTTGAAGCAGAGCCTCCTTAAATATCTTCAAACTCATACCAGACGATATAAACTGCAAAACATATTGAAGTACGTGAGAATATAGTTAGAAAAATGTAAAAAATTCATACAAAAAGAAAGCAGAGAGATGAGTCTGAGATTCTTTGATTGAAGAAGCCCTTGTATTTATAGGTAGAAAATACTAATTCAAAAGGAAAGTATAAAAGTTTATTTATTTAAAGTAATAAAATTATTATTATTATTATTATTATTTATTTAATTTAATTTCCATTTGACATTTACTTACCAAATAAGTTTTACTACAAAAGTTTTGGGGATAAACTTGGTTATGAGGATTTTACTTTTAATTATATATAGATATAGATTATTCTCATAATTTTTCTTTCCTTCTTTTGTGTTATTATTATGGTAATTTTATGGTAATGTATTTAAATATTAGAAGAAAACAAATGTTAGAATTAATGAAATTATTGTGGTAATTGCCACAATATTTGGTAATTATAATTAATATAATTAATGAAATTGAGAAATATATGATTTCTTCCATAGACATATTTGTGACACTTTCATTAAATTATAATTAATAAAATATGAAATATAATTAAAGAAATGAAATTATAAAATTAACAAAACATGAATATTTATAATTTTTTTAAAATATACATACATATACTCTTTAAATTTCTAAATATAATTTTTAAGTATAAATCTATCAATATAAATTATAATTAATGAAATTATATTATAGGACTTTCCTATATACATATTAATAAATATTATGTGTATATACAAAGTAATATACAATCATATAAGGATATGCGTCCGATTAGAATATTTATTTATTCATACAAAATTTAGAATTTACATTTTTTTTATTGATTTCTAAGTACAATTCTCTTAGTTTTTATTATTCATATTTTTAAATTTCATATATACATATGAAATACAATTTGAAATAAATCAACTTAATCATATGAATTTTTTCTATAAATTTATCTAAATATGTACATGATTAGAGAATATATTAACCATACAAAATTTAAATTTTATTTTTGTATGTTATGAAATAGATACTTGACTAAATATATAAAAGTCCAACTATATTATTATATTGTACATTTTAACATCTTTTTATTTTTTCTATTTTTATTTTAAATTCATAATAACAAAAATAAAATTCCGTGCAATGCATGGATAAAACACTATATTTAAAAAATACAATTTGATAAATATCATAAATTAATTAGTAAAATATCATTTATGTTTATAATTATTAAATAAAAAATAAATAATTCAACTATGTGAACCAATAATAATAATAATAATAATAATAATAATAATAATAATAATAATAATAATAATAATAATTGGTAATATTATTATTCAATATAATATTTATAAAAAAAACTTATTTTAATTGGTAATGTATATTTTATATTAATCTATATTTATATTCTATATTAATTAATAAAAACAATTCATCCTTTACAAGCTCCCGCCTAAACAATTAATAATAATATGAAAAAAATGAAAAAGAATGGAAGGAAGTTGTACCCCCAAACAATTAATAATAATATTGGAAAGAAAATTAATAATAATATGTAAATATGGAAAATAATGGAAGAAAATATTATTCATGTGAATGTTTTCTACACTCTGAAAAATGAAAAAGAATCAATAAGCAGTATAAGGAAAATAATCATTAAGATACTATTAATCTTTTATGAAAGATTTTGCATAAAAAATTGAGCCTTATTTTACTGTTAATCTTTAAGAAAAATTGTGCGTAAAAAAATGTAATAGAATCGGTTATTAATAAGTTAGCTTTATTTTACTATTAATCTTTAAGGAATATTTTGCTTAAAAATGAAATAGAATCAATTTATCTATATATAATTAAAAACAAAATCATCCTAATCCATTTTCCCCCCAAACTTTTGTAGTAAAGTTTATTTGGTAAGTAAATCTCAAATGGAAATTAAATATAATAATAATAATAATAATAATAATAATAATAATAATAATAATAATAATAATAATAATAATAATAATAATAATAATAATAATAATTCAAACAAAACTATATACAAATTAAAATTAAATTTAAAATTAAAAAAAAAAAAAAAAAAAAAAAAAAAAGACAAAGGTGGCTCCCCTTTTTAAATGATGTGGGATCATTTTGATCCCACATTGAAAATGTTTAGAAAGAGGAGCTCTTGAGCTCCTCTATATAAGAGGATCATTGCTCCTCTTACAAACATATAATTGCTTGCCCATCAATGTGGGCAAGTATTGAGAAGTCCAAAGACTTTTTTTTTTTTTTTTAGTATTATTGACTCGACAAATTATGCTGTGGCACCGTGTCCACCTTGCAAAGTAGACACAGTTCAAAAATTGTTCATAATTATGAATATATAGTTCTATAATTTGAATATATAGTTCTATAATTATAAACATAGTGTTGTGAACATTATTATAAACATATAGTTATGTAATTATGAATATAGAGATTTAATAATTGTGAATATGAAATTCAAAAATTAGGAATATATATATCCAAACAAAACGATATATAAACATTTATAATAATAATAATAATAATAATCATCATCATCATCATCATCCAAACAAAACGATATACAAAATAAAATGAAAATTAAAAAAAGGAGTCACAGGCTCAATGTTTGGAAAAGGAGCTCTCCTCTATATAAGAGAAGCAATGTGGACAAGTATTGAGAAGTCCAAAGGCAAATATTTTATTTTTTGAGTACTATTGACACGTCAAATTATGTTGTGGAGATCGTGTCCACCTAGCAAGGTAGACACGGTTCTAAAATTGCTCATAATTATATATATATATATATATATATATATATATATATATATATATATATATATATATATATATATATAGTTCAAAAATTATGAATATATAGTTCTAAAATTATGAATATAATGTTGTGAACATATAGTTATGTAATTATGAATATAGAGACTCAATAATTGTGAATATGAAGTTTAAAAATTATGAATATATAGCTTTATAATTATGAACATATAGTTTAGTAATTATGAACATAGAGTTTTGTAATTGTGAATATAGAGTTCAATAATTATGAATATGAAGTTCAAAGATTCTGAATATTTAGCTTTATAATTATGAACATAGAACTGTGTCCACCTTGCAAAGTGGACACGGTTCCACAGCATAACTATTCGATTCACCGTGTTATATGTAGTATCTGTTCATATACAATCGTTATATCCTACACCACGGCGCACATAGCACTGTGCGCCGCGCGCCTCCCAAAACGACGTCGTTTTGGGGTAGTGTTGGGAGGCGCGGTAGGAAGTTGCTGAGATTATGTGTATTTGTCCACAACGTTATATGTATTTGTTCACAACGTTATGTGTATTGGTTCATACAGTTATGTGTATTTTTTATACAATTATGTACATTCTTTTCATACAATTATGTACATCCGAATCAGAAAATTTGTGTGTATTATGTTAAGAGTTGATGTGTATTATGTTAAAAGTTTATGTTTATTATGTATTATGTTAGATTATGTGTATTATCTTTTAAAAAGAGTATGTATATTTTGTTATATAATTATGTACATTCATGTATAACATTATGTGTATTCTAGTATAACATTATGTACATTCTTGAACAGCGGGTTTTTTTTTTTAAAGAAAAAACTACTGCCATTCACTGAGGCGGGAAATTTCAAAAAAAAATAATAATTAAAACGACGTCGTTTTGCATCTGGGCGCATAGTGCAACGCGCGCCGTGGTGTAGGATATAAATTGCCGTTCATATAGACTTACTCAACCTATTGAAGCCCAACGTTTCAAAACGCTCTTATTTAAGAAACCTTATTTTAATGGTTTCTTATTATAGTTTTTTTTTTTTTTTTTTTTTTTTAATTTATTAGGGGGTTTGACTAAGATTAACCCAAAATGTATATGTGTTGTTTTTAGCAGTTTGGAGCAAATTGTTAAGTTATTAAATAATATTTTTGATGTTTTGATTAAATATAAAATGTTAAACAAGCAAATTTTTTAAAATTTTGGAGAATTCTCCAAATTATCAAATTACAATAACAATAACAATAACAATAACAATAACAATAACAATAACAATAACAATAACAATAACAATAATAATAATAATAATAATAATAATAATAATAATAATAATAATAATAATAATAATAATAATAATAATAATAATAATAATAATCAAAACAAAACTATATACAAAATAAAATTAAAATTAAAAAAAAAAAACAAGAAAAAACAAAGAGGAGTCACCGACTCATTTTGTAAATGATATGGGATCATTTTGATCACACATTGAAAATGTTTGAAACCAGAGAGCTTATCTATATAAGAGGAGCAAAACTCCTCTTACAAACATAATTACTTGCACATCAATGTGGGCAAG